GAAGGACTTTCAGCAGGAGATAATTGTGCAAACCTAGCTTCAAGAGGAGCCAGGAGGGGAGCCAGGGAAACACTGCCAACTGCTTGGTGGGTGGTTGAGGGAAAGTCACTTCCCTGACCCTAGGAAGGGTACAGAAAACAGGGGTGGGGGGTGGGAAGATTGCCCCCTTCTTATTTCCAGCCACCTGCTGGAGTGGACACTGTTGTAGATGCGGGTTCCTGGAAAGATCAGAAAGCTGCTTGTAAAAGTTCAAAATGTCAAAACAACTCTGAGATATCATCTCACTCTAGTAAGAATATCAAAATTTAACAGAACAGCAAACATCAAATGCTGGCGAGGTTGCAGAGAAACTGGAACCCTTACTCACTGTTGGTGGAAGTGTAAAATGGTGCAACCACTATGGAAGGCTGTATGGCGCTTTCTCAAAAAGTTGCAAATAGAAATACCATTTGACCCAGCAATTCCACTACTGGGAATTTACCATAACCGCCACCCATGTTTATTGTGGCTTTGTTCGCAATAGCAAAGAGCTGGAAACAACCCAAGTGCCCATCAACAAACGAATGGATAGAGAGGCTGTGGTATATTCACACAATGGGATACTATGCAGCACTGAAAAACAAGGAACTAATGAAATATTTTGCAAAGTAGATGACCCTGGAGGACATTATGCTTAGTGAAATATCTCAGTCACAAAAGGGTAAATATTGCATAGGGCCACTGTTGTAAAATGGGACTGACATCACGGTTGAGGGAAGACAGAAAAGGAGGGGAGGAATGATGTATATTTCATTGAAATAGATGAGGGAGAAAACTGTTTAAAAGGGATACATGAATGGGTATTCTTGTCATTACAGAAGTCCAGAGTGAAGGCAGAACAGTGGAGTGGACTTGGGGGGAGGAATTATGTAACAATGAAAGAGTTTTTATTTCCAAGGAGAAGAGAGAATTAGGAGAAGGGGGTGGGCAGGGAGAAAAATGCAACAATGAATGACTGAAAACTCTAAGTCTCTATAAACTTTCATTAAAATTAATACAAAAGTTCAAAATGGTCACACTCTTTCATGTCCGTTCACAATTCACCACTTTGTCAACTTATTGAAAGTTCTGAGTTACTTCCTTCAGCCAAAGTTTGAAGTCCTTCTTTTTAATTTCCTTTGAAACTCACAGTTCCAAGATAATCATCCATATCTGTTATCTTTGTTTCTGAGTCTCTGGCATAGAGGAAGGGAACTCTAGACTCACAGTCTGTTAAGGATTTGTGCTGTCAACCCAAAGGCTGCAATCCTGGCAGTTCAAATCTCCCAGGGGCTTCATGGGAGAAAGATAGACAATCTCCTCTTATGCCTTTCACAGCCTCAGAAATTCAACAGTGGGCCAGCGGTCGGTCAGTCAGTCCTCACACTATAGCAAGGATCTTGAGTGACTTTTGAGACGTACAGGACAGGTGGTGTAGTCCATAGTGAGCTATGTGGCTAACTCAAGGCTGTGTATCAGTGGTTCTAAGGGAGAGAAAGGGGCAGAATACCTTCCTGTTGTGAATGACAGCCCAGCACTCCCAGGGAGAGATGCAAAGAGTCAGAAACGACTCAACACTGAGTGAGGTGGTTGTACAGCATCTGCCATTAGCCTAGTTCTTCAGTTTTATGTCAACTCAAGACTTGACAACCTATTTGGAAAATTCACCTTTATGATATTATTTCTCTAGAATCACTCTTGGTACTGTCTTAGGCTAAAGTCTCCTGGGAGCTCTGGTGACCTAGTGGTAAGAAGCTATGCTGAAATCCCAAAGGCACACAATTTGAATCTGCCAGCAGTTCTGCAAGAAGATGGGCATTTCCTCCTGTGCTATTAACTGTCTCCGAAAACATGTCAGATGGTCAGCTATGGGTTGGTTATGACTTGATGGCATACAACAGTAAGGTCTCTAGAGAAACTAAATAAATGGAGATTTTATATCTCTATATATCTATATCTACCATTCTTATGGCAGATACAGTAGATATGCCACATGCAGATGATACAATCTTGCTTGCTGAAAGTAAAGACTTGAAGCTGCTTGCTGCAGAGGAACCAATAATATAGCCTTCAATATACATTGTATCTCAACATCAAGAAGCAAAAATCCTCACCATTGGACTGATAGGCAACATCATGATAGATAAGAAGACTGAATCTGTCTACAATTTCACTGTACTTGAATCAACTTCCTTGGTACAAGCAGTCAGGAGGTCAATAAATGTATTGATTTAGGAAAGTCTGCAGTCAGGGACCTCTCTAAATTATTGGGGAGCAATGACATGTTTGAGGACTAAGGTGTGCTTCAATTACTTACTATGTGCCTGAGAGGGGATAATGAATAAAGATGACAGAAGAATTGATGTCTTTGAGCTGTGATGTTGGAGAAAATACTGAATATCCCATGGACTGCCGAAAGAACAGACAGACATGTCTTAGAAAAAGGATCCAGTTAGAGTGCTCCTTGAAGGAAAAGACAACAACACTTCATCTCACATACTTTGGTCATGCTAGGTGAGACTATTCCTTAGACCAGGACATCATGCTTGGGGAGGCAGAGAGGTGGTGAAATAGAGGAAGATCCTCAACCAGATAGAGTGACACGAATGACTGCGGTAATGGGAGCAAGTGTGTCAGGGATGTTGAGGATGGCATGGGATAGGACAGGGTTCAGATCTGCTATGAGTTGTATTCAACTTTACAGCATCTAACAACAACCACCATTCTTAAAATTTAAGAAGCTGGATTATATGAAGAAGAATGTGGCAACAGAATTGGAGGAACAACCAGTGATATGCTGATGACACAAACTTGCTTCAGAAAACGAAAAAGATATGAAGCACTTAACTGCACAAGATCAAAGACTACTACAGTCTTCAATGCTGATTATATTTCAACACCAATAAATCCCCCAAATCCTCACCATTAGACCAACGGGCAATGTCATGGCAGATGGAGAAAAGACTGAACTTGCCAACAATTTAATTTTACTTGGATCCACAATCAATATCCATGGTAACAACAGTAAAAAAAAAAAAATCAAAATCAAAAGATGTGGTGTATTGAGAAAATCTCCAAAATTCTAAAGAGCATGGTTGTCAGCTTAAAGACTAAGATATGCCTAATTTAGGACACAGTATGAAAGTTGGACAACAAGTAAGGATGACAGAAGAATTGATTCCTTTGAACTGTGGTGCTGGCGAAGACTACTAAAGTGCCAACAGAACAAAAAAAATTATACTGGGACAGCAGAAGCAAGGTACTCCTGAGAGGCAAGGACTGTGAAGTGTCTCACATTCCTTGGACATCACAAGAGGGACAAGGCCTTAGGAAAAAAAAATCATGTGAAAAAGATGTCGAGGGTCAGAGAAAGAGAGGAAGACTCTTTTTATTATTATTATTTTATTATATTTTTTTTGTGTGTGTGTACCATCAAATCGGATCTGACTGGTACAGGAGGAGATTGTCCCTCCTTTCCTGGCAGAACATCTGGTGGATTTGAACCGTGCGCCTCTGGGATTGCAGTGCAGCTTCTTGCCACTAGGCCACCAGAGCTCCCCTGAGAAGAAGACTCTTAAAGAGGATGGACGGACCCAGTGACTGCAGAAATGGGCTTGATCATGGTGGATACTGTGAGGATGGTGCAGGATGGGGCAAGGTTCCAATCCATTGTTTAAAGAGTTGCTATGAGTCATAGTTGACTTAATGGCATATCACAACAATCCATCTATATACATATAAATAGAAATGTATCTCAAGGAAATGGCCTATGAGCTTCTTGTTGCTGTTATGTGCCACTGACTATGACTTACAGTGACCCTATGAACAATGGCTCTGAACCTTATCAATGGCTCTTAAGTTCACCTCGCCATCTCTGACATACCTATCCTGGATACAACGGTAACTGTGTCAATCTATCTCATCCAGGCTCTTCCTCTACCATGCTGACCCTCTGCTTTTCCAAACATGATGTCCCTCAATAAGAACTAGGCTATCCTGGCAACATGCCCAAATTATGTGAGATGGAGCTTCACATCCTAGCCTCAAAGGGGCAGCTTAGTTTCAACCTCTCCAGGCTGAACTTGATTGTTTATTCATTGCCCACCTCTCAGATGCACATCAAGCAACTGAAAAACTATGGCCTGGACTAGGCACACCTTAGTCTCTAAACTGATATTGTTGCTTGTAGAAGCTGGCAAGTCCCACATCTGTGAGTCAGATCTCAGGCTAGTGAAGACAAGATGGGCAAGTTAGAAAGTTGACTGCTGGCTTCTGAAATTAGTATTGGTAGGCTGCTGGTGCAAATCCAGAGAACCAGAAGCCAGATGGTGGCGGGCCAGATGCAAGGAATAGACTACATTATGAACAAAGCATGGACCCTTGGACCAATTCCATGTATTCAAGTCTCAAGAAAACTTTCTAAAAAAACCCAAAAAACCAAAAAACAAAAAAAAAAAAAAAAGAAAACTTTCTATCAAAGGAGTGGGTGCCCCCAGCAAATCTCATAATGGAGGTAAAGATGTTCTATGAGCTCTCATCAAGGGAACCGCTACATAGAACTGCCGAAGCAGGTAATCAGAGAGAGTCATGATGACACACAACACTAACCCTCACCAACCTGGATGACTCTGCAATTGGAGTGAACAGGAAATAAAGGTTGTCTGTTCCCACCAGGTGCTGGTGCCATAGCCAAGGGTGACTGGTGTGGCTACAGTATGTCATGCTGGTCTCACAAATGGGGATAATCCCTCGGCATGTCCACCCTGAAAACACGCAGGCCTGGTGTGTAACAGCCTTCAACACAGCCCCTCACACAACTACAATGCAGCTAGGACAAGCAGAGATGTAGAGACCAGGCCATCCTGACAACATCCAAAAACAGGGTTCCCTGAGGTATCCCCCACAACACGGCCTCTCTGGTTCCACCTCCTCCACAGTGAGGCCAGACAAAGCTGGGATCATCTTGCAGCAAGGAAACTCACAGGTCACAGGGCTCTTGTCTTCCTCCTCAGGGTCCTCCTGCTCCTCAGACCTGGGCAGCTTTCTGAACTCCGACAGATCCATCTGCAGCAACTGGCAAATGGCCTCATGGGTGAGGGTCGAGGCCAGTGTTTCCGGGGCGCTCCTGGGGACAGAGCACCGACAGTGGGACAGAATGTGAGGTAGGCATGTCAGCACCCTCCCTGGGACACACTTATGCCCCCTAGGGAGCTCCTTCTGCAGGTCAGATGTCCTGTCTGCCCTGCTCAGGAACTCTTGGAGCCCAGTGTAGTGGAGGGTGTGCCAGAGAGCCCTACCAACTATCTCCGCCAGCCTGGCAGGCTGCCTGAAATCAGGCCTGCTCATAGGAAATTTTCCACAGACCACATCGGGGAGGAGAGGATATAAATGGTTGGAGTACTCCAGGGACTTAGGGAACTGGGTGTGGGAATGGCTCTGGGGATATCCTAGGTGTGTGGTTGGCAACTGTGGGGGGATAGGAGGCCTGTGGGCTTGAGGGAGCAGGAAAGGGGAGCACCAGGGGGCTCAGGGAGCTGATGGGTAGGAGAGGGGAGCATTAAGGAGTTGGTGCGGAAGGAGAGAAGACTGGTAGGGACCAACAAAGAAATGAACAAGGAACTAATCTTTCAAGGAACTAATCCTGTAACAAGGGGAAGCCAACATTTTTACAGTACCTCATGGGAAAATGTCCTTTTTCTTAGAAGTGGTGGTTTTAGCTTTCTTATAAAACTATAAAATTCATTTCAGCTCTTCTTCTGCTGCCCTTTTCTATTTGCCCCCAGAAGTTTATGGCTAAATCCCTTTTCTTTCTCTTCTGACAATTTAAGGTGAGAGGCTAATCCTCCTCTTAAGAATTGTTTAAAAAAAAAAAGAATTCTTTATTGTTTGTTTTTCTGTTGGCCTCAGCAATCTCCTTTAAAGACAACTGATAAAGATAGTATCAATCTAGATACCCTTTCCCTAATCTAACTGGATGTCAAGGAGTTCTGGTGGTCTGGTGGCAAGAAGTTGCACTGCAATCCCAAAGGTCACCAGTTGCTCTGTAGAAGGATGGGCAATTTCCTTCTGTGTGATTAACTGTCTCTGAAAACCCGCTGGAGAATCAGCTATGGGTCAGTTCTAACTCTTTGGTACATAGCAACAACAACAGGATGTCAAAGCTTTCCATGATACACAGATGGTGGCAATTACGTCAAGGATACTTGCTAAGACCAGACCAACTAGTTTGCAGCATGGCCGCTGTCTAGGTCACTTGGCCAAGAGAAGTATAACTAAAAATTCTGCACATTCTGCTTTCCTCTCCCTCCCCATATACAAGCCCTTGCTCTCTCTCTATGGATTCCATCTCAACATCAAGAAAATAAAAATCCTCACCACTGGATCCATAGGCAATGTCATGACAGATGGAGAAAAGGTTGAGACTATCAAGAACTTCATCTTACTTGGATCTACTTGGTACCAGCAGTCAAGAGAGGTACTGCACTGGGAAAGTCTGCAGTCTGGGACTTCTCCTTATTACTGAGGAACAATTATATCAGTTTGAGGACTAAGGTGCGGCTGATTCAAGCCACTGTCTTTTCAGTCAATTATACATCTGAGAGCTGGACTAAGGATGACAGAATAATTCATGCCTTTGAGTTGTGGTGTTGAAGACAAGTGCTGAATATCCCACAGACTGTCAAAGGAACAACCAGATACATCTTGGCAAAGGTGTAGCCAGAGTACTCCTTGGAGGCAAAGAAGATGAAGCTTCATCTCACATACTTTAGGTACATTGCTATGAGAGGCTATTCCTTTAAGAGAGACTTCATGCTTGGGAAGGTGGAAGGATGGTGAAGGAGAGAAAGACCCCCGAATGAGATGAACTGATATAGTTAATGCAGCAATGGACTCAAGTGTGTTACGAGATGATGAGGATGGCACAGGATAAGACAGGGTTCATATTTGTTGTTCACAGGATCTCTATGAGTCATATGCAACTTGACAGCATCTAACAACAACATACATGTAAGTCTCCAAGACAAAGAGACAAATTGGAGAAGCTCCTACTTCAGTTTGCCATATCTCACTCTCAAAGCTGTCTAGTCTGAATCAACTCATAGCTGACCCTCCAGAAGCTTTTCAGATGTTGTAAATCGAACAGGAGGAGACTGTCTAATTTTCTCCCATGGATCAGTGGTGGATTCCAACTTGGAGCCCCGTGTGGCAGGGTGGCAGCCCTGGGGTGGCACAGTGATGTGCTATACTCAGTAATGTCACATGCAGGCACTCGTGTGAGCAGGGCTAGAGGTGGCCATGGTAGAGGATGCTCCCTGGAATGAGGCCTGGAGAGCACACCGGCAGCCAGGCAGCAGCACTGAGGCTGTGGACACTGAAGGCCACTATAGTCTGTTTGGAGGTGTCTGAGTGGTCACCTCCAGGGCCATGTCACTGTGTAAGGGCATCTGAGGCAAACTGGGGGTGCCGCTGGGACTTAGGCCGGGGGGATCCCTCAGCAGGGGATTAGAGATCCACAACATTATGTGTCACAAGGAGCCCCAACTCTGAAGGCTGGTGCACTGAGGTTTTTCTTCATGCCTCACAACTGTGGAAATATGTCCAAAGTATGAGAGAGGAAGCTTCACCATCTTTGTCTCCAAGGAGTACTCTAGGTGCACTTTCCCCAAGACATATCTGTTTGTTCTTTTGGATATTCAGTACTCTTCTCCAACACAATTAACACTTTGCACATGTTGCTAGGAGAGTTATTTCTTGGAGAGGGACATCATGTTTATAAAGGTGGAGGGATGGTGAAAGAGAAAGATTCTCAAGTAGGTGGACTGCCACAATGACTGCAGCAGTGAGCTCAAGTTCTCAGAGACTAGGATGATGTCACAGTCTAGGACAGGGTTCAGATTTGTTTTTCACAGGGTTGCTGTGAGTCATCCTTGACTTGACAACACCTAACAACACCACCACCACTTGGAGTCCTGAAACCAGGCCAGGAGGAAGCAGGATTGGAGCAGTTTTTGAGCAGGTGACTCTTGATTACTTGGGAGCCTGGTGGGCAAGCTACATTGCTCCAATCCACCCGCTGTCTGACCTTTAAGTTGAGCAGCATCTACTGCAGCCATGATGGCTGGGGAGGGGGTGGAAGGAAGGGCAGTGACCTGTGGTGCTCCAGTGTGGTCCTATCCTGACTTTGCCCAAGTGACAAAAGCAGCACAGGGCTCTATGTGACCGGTGACAAGCCAACTAGCCCTCCCACACAGGTGCCCGGCCTACCTGCTGTCCAGGAAGCCCAGTGCCAGTGCCACCAGCTCAGCCTCTGCCTCTTCCTGGCTCAGTGTTGGCCCTGGGGCCTTCCACGGCAGTGGGCTCTCTGGGCTTGGGGGTGCTGGAAAGTTGTGCAGGAAGGTGTCCAGGAAGTCCTGAGCATCCTCCACCCTGCTGGTCTCCTGGTTGCTCTCTTGAGGGCCACCAGAGGCCATTCTGAGCACATCCCGGTACCTGTGCTGGTTGAGGGGGTCTCCAATGAACAGTCTCACTGTGGGGAGAAAACCTGTTTTAGCAAATGTCATACCCTCTGCAACTTGGCAGACCTGAGTCCTGCTTGCTCTTTTTTTTGATGGCCAGTGGGCTATTTGCCCCCTCCACAAGGCAGGTAGGGGTGTCCTGAGTAGGCAAGACTAACCATCTGAGCCAGAGGGAGAAGAGGATGGTCGAGAGGCAGCCTGGGAGCAGAGGTGGTGGGGGACACCCTGAAGAAGAGGTGGCCAAAGGACGATGGAAGCTGGTCATTGATGGTGGAAAGGGTTCAATCTGTTCCTGGGACTGTGAGGGGCATTCTGTGGTGAGAATATGATATCAATGGGCACTAGACTGAAGAAGAGACATCTGCTAGGACATGAAGATGGGTGCACAGAAAGGAGAAAAGCTGTGTGTGGAGGCTAGCAAGGCTACCCATAAGCAGGCCTGATGGGGAGTAAAGGGGTACCCCAGGCCCTTTCACAGGCCTGCAGGACTCAGGTGGGAGAGGACAGAGTGCTGACCCAGGACACTGGGCCATGACCAAGTCTTGAACATCATCTTTGACAGGCTTCAAGCTGCAACGGGATGCTGAACCTGGCTCGAAAAGTGTTATCAGACATGATGAAGATCGAATAAGATAGGACAGGGTTCGGGTCTGTTGCTCACAGGCTTGCACGAGTTATACTCTCCTTGACAGGTCCTGACAACACTCACCAACCAAGTCTCCTTTCCTAATGCAGCATGGTAGCTCTCAGGCTAGGCCTCCCTACCCAGCCTGGCTCATGCTTTAAGCTCATCTGTCCCTGAATCCTTAACAACACAGGGGACCTGGAGTGATGATGCTGAGTGATGGGAAAAGAGATGGGGACAAAGGAGTAATGAGCTCTGCGCCCTCTACTGCTTCCATCTTTCCACAGCCGGAGTGCTCTTTGGAAGCAAAGATGACAAAGCTTCGTCTCATATTTTGAGCATGCTGCTAGGTGAAGCTTGGAAAGGGAATATGCTTGGAAAGGAGCACTCTGACTCCACTTTCCACAAGACCTATCTGTTCTTTTGGAAATCCATGGGATATTCAGTACTATTCACACTCTGGTCATGTTGCTAGGAGTGGCTATCCCTTGGAGAGGGATATCATGCTTAGAAAGGAAGGGTGGTGAAAGAGAGGTAGACTCAACCAGATGGACTGACAACAGTGACTGTAGTAATGTGCTCAAGTGTATCAGAGATGATGAGGATTGAATAGGACAGGATAGGGTTCAGGTCCATTGTTCACAGGCTTGCTATGAGTCATACTCAACTTGACAGAACCTGACAACGCTCACCAAGCAGGTCTTCTTTCCTGACGCAGAAGACCCATCTAGTGCCAATCATCACCACCTTGAATACCTTGCCTCACAATGTGGCCTTGCACCTTCTTGGGCTAGCGAGGGCTGAGCAGAAACCCAAGGCCTGCTTGGTCCCACCTTTCTCCACCACTGTTCTCCAGGACCCAGTCAGCCAAGAGTTTCTCCCTCCATCACCCTTGTCCTTTAATTTGCTGGCTGCATCTTCTCATTCCATGTGCCTACAGTTAATACTGCCTCCTAGGACAATGGTGAGGACTTGGTATCATGTCCTTAAAAAATTTGTGAAGTCCTGAGTTTTATTTCAAAGTAAACGATGTCAGTTTGGAGACAAAGGTGAGCCTCATTGAGGCCGTGGTCTTTTCAATTACTTGTTACACATCTGAGAACCGGACAGTGAATAGGGATGCCAGAAGAAAAAACCTGATGCCTTTGAGCTGTGGTGTTGGAGAAAAGTACTGAACATCCTGCCAAAAGAGCAAACAGATGTGTCCTAGAAAAAGTCCAACCAGAGTGCTCCTTGGAGACAAGAATGGTGAAGTTTCATCTTTCTTACTCTGAAGAGGCAATTCCTTGGAAGGGGACATTATGCTTGGAAAGTTGGAGAGTCAGTGAAAGAGAGGAAGACCCTCAACATGAGAGACTGACGCAATGAATACAGCAATGAGGTGATGAGGATGGCATAGAATAGGGCAGGGTTCATTTGTGATCATTCAAAGGATCATTATGAGATGCATTAGACTCTACAGCATCTAACAACTATGATGCTGTCTGGGAAAAGGGCACATTGTTACTTGATAAAGCCATGACAGTATTGGGTGGGGTACATCTTAAAAACAATTGTTTCCGAGTCTATTAAGAGCAGCAGCCTCTGTGGCATGCCAGAATCCTCCTTAGAAGTGAGGTTAGAGAGATTTCCTCTCATACACTTTGGACAAGTTATTAGGATGGGCTGGTTCCTGCAGAAAGACATAATGGTAAAAAAGGGTAGCCAAAGAGGTAAGACTTTCAACGAGAAGGCATGACACAGTAGGGATAGCAACAAGCTCTAATAGAGTAATCACTGTGAGGCTGGTACAACATTTGTACGCAGGGCAGTTACACATGAAGGTAATCTAATCACATCTAACACAGAGACACAAGTAAACACAAAGGAAGACAGACACCACAGGAAGATCATCAAGGAATGACACATTTAAGCAAGGATTTCTCCCAAGAGTCTGTATCAAAACTTCTGTTCCCTAAACCACCCAGGTGTGGCATTTAAAAAAGGAAAAAAAAGCAGCAATAGATTAAGATACTTGACAATCCAAGCGGACCAATTTTCTACCAAGTTCTCACAATGCTCACTAATGTTCTGAGGGGGCCATGTCTGGATCAAAACACAAGATCCTTGTCTGTCTCCCTCTTTCCTGAGCCAAGTACCCTTAGGCTCACCAAGTGACCCCGAGACATTATCACTGCTTCTCTTCAGAGAGCACTTTCTCAGCCTGGCCCTGGAAACTGCCTATGGGAATGAGCCCCACAAATGCACCTTTCCCTGACACAATTTCTGACAAATTGATTTTTAAGTCCAAGATGTACTCCAAGTTCTAGGCCAGGAAACATGGGAAGCAGTTTCAGAGCTCACCCTTTTCTAAGGACTTCCAGGTTTGGATGAAAGAGAAGACAGAAGAATAAGAAGGAAGCTTCCAGAATCATCATTTTCAAAATAAGAATCATCATTTTCAAAATATCTATAGACCATGCTTCCAAACATCACAAAAATTGCTGCTGCAGACAGGTGAATCCAAGGAAGAAGTATCTAACAGTGCTAATAGCTCCTAGTGGTGCTGTGATTAATGCTATAAGGTTGGCAACCAAAAGGCTGGCAGTTTGAACACACAGTGATCTCTGGTAGCCTAGTGATAGGAAGCTGGACTGCCAACCAAAAAGCTCAAAAGTATCCACCACCTGCTTCTCAGGAGAAAGATGGGCAGTCTCCTCTCTTGTGATTTATTGCCTCCGGAAATCTGCTGGATGGTCAGCTAGTGGTCAGTTTCAACCCCATGGTACACTGGAGAGTCAGCTATAGGTCAGTTCCAACTCCATGATACACAATTCCACAAGAGAAAGATGAGGCACTCTGCTTCCGGAAAGATTTATGCCTTGGAAAGTCTGTATTCTACTCTTTCCTACAGGACCACTCTGAATTGGAATGAACTCTATGGTAACGGGTTTGGTTTAGTTTGACTATCTCTCAATCAGAGGTCCCAGGAGGTACAGATGGTTAAGCACCTGACAACCAGCTGAAATGTTGCTGGTTCAAACCTACCCAGAAGTGCCAGTGATGTGGTCACAGAACGTCACAGCATTGAAAAACCATCCGGCACAGTTCTCTACACAACAGGGGTGGTTGGAAGGCAACTGAAAACCATCTCTCATGGCCTAGAGAAGGGGTATTATTTGCCAGAATTAATGAACTTGGAATAAATCTTCAGGAAAAAGAAAGATAAGACTATGAAAAGAGAACAGGGTGGAGGTGGAAGGGAAAGGTATCCCAGCACCAAGTTTAATATCTTCTTAATGCAGGATCTGGGGTGAAAAGGGGAAGGATGGGAAGTAAAAAAAGTACAAACCTCAACTCTCAGAAACAGGAATTTAAAGTTATTTTTTCCTCTACATACACACAAAGGATCTAGACTTTGTGGAATTTACTATTAGAAGTTCTCAGGATGTTGTTACTTGTTGGTGAGATGAAAGTTGTCAACAATTTCATCTTGTTTGGGTTCATCATTAATACCCTTGATACAAGTAAACAAAATATAAAGAGAAGTGTGATCCTACTACACAGCTGTGGTGGCCAAGACACCATGATACTGGTACAATGACAGACACACAGATCAATGGAATAGAATTGAGAACCCATAAATCAGCTCATCTACCTACGGTCAACTGATTTTTGACAAGGAGATGAAATCAGTTAAGTGGGGAAATGATAGCCTCTTTAACAAATCGTGTTGACAAAAATAGGAAAATTATCTGCAGAAAACTCATGCAGGACCAATACCTCACACCATACACAAAAACCAACTCAGTGGATCAAGGATCTAGGATTAAAACTAAGGACAATAAACTTCATCAGAGAAAAGCTTGGAAGAACTCTAGAAGCCCTAATCCACAACATGAACAGTTTTCCAAGCATCCTGAAAAACCTATAACTAGAAGAAAATAAAAGAGATCAATGGGATCTTCTAAGAATCAAATCCGTATGCACATAAAAAACCTACAACAGGGTAAAAAGGAAAACCACAGAGAAAAAAATATTTGGTAATAACATGTCTGATAAGGGACTTGTATCTAGAATTTACAGAATACTCCAGCACTACAACAAGATAAACAATCTAATCGCAAAACAGGCGCAGGATGAACAGACAGTTCACCAAAGACGACATTCAGATGGTGAAAGAATACATGAAGAAATATTCAAAATCCCTAGCTTTAAGACAGATGCAAATCAAAACAACTATGAGATATCATCTCATTCCAGTAACAATAGCAAAATTCAACAGAACAGCAAAAAACAAATGCTGGCGAGGCAGTGAAAAAACTGGAATTCTTATTCACTGTTGGTGGGAGTGTAAAAT